ACAGGAGCGTGCCATTCTCCGTCAGAGCACCGGCGCCACCAGTGGGCAAAAGTTTCCTCAATTCACCCTGGGTCTGTCGGGCGATCTGTTTTAAAAGCGGTGTGGGTCCGCCCCAGTTGATCGTTTTACTCTGCACGCCGTCCGTGGACCGCGTGGCCTCACCCACAACCAGTTGGACATGAGTCACCTGCCTCCCAGCTCTTCGTAACACTGTCATACTTCTCTTCATGGCTTCCTACAATTAAAAACACATTATTGCCCTTCGCCAATGTTGTGGGTAGCTTCGCAACACCCACACGATCCTCTTCCTTCACTGTACTAAGCGCGGTGTGTGCCCTCCATGTACCATCATTGACCGCAGCGACAAGAGACGACCACGTCTCCGCAGCGTTGACGTACCCCGCAACCACTTCAAATTGCTAAACCTTTTTTTTCCCCGGTGAGGAGAAGTCGATTGCCACAAGACTCTCAGCAAAAGCAACCATCACCCCACCAGCACTGAGGAGAGAGGGTGTGAGAAACGCAAATTTCACTCCAATTTCAGACTCCTCTTTTGTTACAACCTGCGTCTGCTGTGGCGCCAAAAGAGCAACCCATTGCGGCAGCCGCACATACCCTGACCTACTCTCCACAGCGTGCGCAGCTCCACTGCCGCAGCACAACACCAAAAAGAGGAGGAGCAGCACCGCGAAATTAAACACATGCCGGGACATGTTGGGCCTCTGCGGCTCACTCTCTCCTCATTCCTCCTCCTTCCGCAGGATCCGGTCACGCGGCGACGGTTGTGTGTGCTGGGTGCCTTCACAGCAGCAACTCCCGAAAGCATGTAAATATGTGTGTGTGTGCGGTGTGTGTGCTGTTGGTCCTTTCAGAGCCTTACAATTTCACAGTAGCGAGTAGCGCTTGATTTCCTAGCGTGTTTGTATTCAAGAAGTGAAGAAGGCAGAAAAAGCGGCAATACATCAGACACGCCAATGGGGAGCAGAAGAGAGCACCACGCAAAGAGCGGGACACAAGACAATCCGGAAGCGACAGCACAGAGGAGCATCGCCCGCACCAGCCATCACAAACACACCATCGCAGCGCTGTCAGTCCGCGGAAGAAAAGATTCGGCCCTCCACACAACAAACACACACAGAGCCAGCAGTCACCCACCAATGGACGAAGAGAAAAGACACACCGCCACCGCCTCCCGTTCAATCCCACGGCCAACGGGATAAAGCCACAGCCCGCAGCCAACACACAACGCACACGGAGTAAACAATCACCCAAAGAGCCACACGCAGAAGCGATTCCTCATCCATCCAAGACGCGGCAAAATTTACTGCCATTCCGCCCCCACAATGGAATGCGGCGCCTCACGCCTACAGAAAGAGGAAGCACCCACACGCAACTGCCAGCACCCACTAAGAAAGGATCAGCCACGTGTACTCCAAAGAATATGCGTTTAGTGTGGGTGTCGTTGTCTGTCCCTGCCGACACAAAAACATAAACAAAAAAAAAGGTTTGAAGCACTTGATGCCACACAGCAAGGTTACAGAAAAAACGATATTCTTAACACTTTATAAATTCCACAAAAAAAAAAAAAAAATGGCGTTCAGTAGCAGTGTAGCGCTTTAAAATAATGTGCGTATAACTGGCTTTTTTTTAAGTAACAAAAAAATAAATATTTCTTTCACGGCAATTAATCCTTTCTCATATTCACGCATCATGTATGGCTTGTAAGAAGCCCCGGTATGTTTCCGTCGTCTTTTTGCTCTCTACCCTTTCATTTGAACAATTGTTACACAACAAAAACTGTCGTTAGGTTGTTGTTTTTAATGTAAAAGAAAAGCACACAATTCTTTGATAATTCCATATATTCTTAAGCTGAGTGCAGCAGTGAACCGGCTAGTAAAATAGAATAAATAAATAAATCCTTTAAAAACAATTATTTGTAAATTGTAATTTATTCCCAGGAAAAAGAGCAGACAAATCCCAAAGTGAAGTCTCACTACTCCTCACAAATCCGCAAGCCTCCAGAAATGCAGCAAGAATATCAAAAGCACTCTTTTCAAATGAATGGAAAGAGAGACAACAACAACACTTTTCTAGGTTTTTTTTTGTTTTTTTTTTTGCTGCAATCGTTGCTGATTTATTACGCTCCCATTTAACTCTGTCCTATTCGCTTATAAGATTTTCCAGCTTGGTGATGCGGGATAGAGGGTTGTAAAAATGACCATTTCCCACCGCAACATCCTTTTCGTCTGTTTCACCTTCGTCTTCTGTGATGCTTCCCAATCCTCCAATTTAGAAGTTTGAAAAACATTCCGATTCATCCTTCGAACAATATCCTTTTGAGTAGCCAAAGGCTAATAGTCAACGTGCACAGAGGCTTTGCCGTTCCGCAGCATGAGCACCACTTGATATGTCGTCCTCGGCTCCCAAGATCCCTCTTGTGCCGTCGTCGTCGTCCCACACTTGCACATCAATTTCCACCCTCAGCCCGTGTCGTGCGATGCTTCCACAAGAGCATCACCTGAAGTAACATTCATCTTTACATTCACCAAAGAAATGCTGTCTTTCTTCGGCACCCGATGAATGGTCACCTTTGACAAAAGAATAAAGTTGGTTTCAAAGTGGTAAGATTGATTCTGCCCTAGTTTGCCAACGGACCATTTTTCTCCTGATCCTGAACGTTTAAAGCACACATCATCATTCGTGTTTTTCGATTTCCCATGAACTTTTGTATCTCCTCGAAGTTATTCATCTTTCCGCTGACCCGCAGTGAGGGTACCAGACTAATATCCAATCCTAACGTTCGTGGGCACGCAAGTAATGCAAACCCCTTGAGGTGATAAAGCCTTCGCCGCAGTTAAAAAACTACACGTCTGGGAAACACGGTTGTCCACGTCCTTAAAACTTTTTTTTTACCGATCTCACCACGCAGCCAAAAAGAATAACGAGTGTAGTAGAAGGACTGCAGGATGTATCACCGCCGTTCTCGTAAAAAGTAAACAACGTCCCGTCTTTTTCCAACAGAAGAATGACTGTGGCTGTCTTGTCAATTTCAGATATCGTTAAAAGGTCAAAGATGTGATTACTGAAGTCAGTGAGCCACAATTTAAGCGGCCACCCTTTATTCTCGCTTTATGTACCATGTTGCGCCAAGTGTTTTAGGAAGCATCACTTTATTCTTTATAATACTCACAGTAATAGCGTTACCTCCAACTCCAAAAACAATTCTCTCTCGTTTTTGCCGCACACGCGTAAGGGTGTTCCAAGAGCCTCCGTCCATGCCTTCCCGTCATCCCGTCCTCCGTGAACTCTGCGATTTCCGAGATGGCAAAGAGATAAAATGGGTAGTTTCGCATCTTCCCAATCCACATTGGCGACATCGCTGCCGCCCTCAGCGCTCGCTCGATAGTGGGGTCTCGACGCTATTTTGTCATCATCCGAATAAATTAAGCTGGATATGGTAAGCCCATTCGCGTTTATAGGTTGTAAAAAAAAAGCCACAAATCCTCCCTCTTTCGTCGCAACTGCGCTGTTCTCAAAAGGAAAAGACAACTTTAAAAATTTGCCTCCAACCATATGCGTAGTATTGAGATTTGGTTTCATGGTAATTAACTGCAAACCTGTGTTTGCGTTCGCTTCCATAATAATATTCAAAAGGCAACCAAGTAAGTGCGGAATCTTACCCCTATATTTTCCGTCATAGCATACCAGAATCGCAAGCACCTCAAAGGTAAATTGTGCGGCAGCTCATGATACATCTGCCTCAGCACCGTCCACATCGGAGAATGCCAGTGATTCCTTGTGCTTTTTTCATTCTCCCCTGCCGTATACACAAAACCTTGACATCCAAATGGTTTTCTTTCCGTTTCCGATCCCTCTCATTGAGCAGCAGCAGTGGTCACAATAATTCCTTTTATTCCAAAAGGAAAAGGCACACAGAAATGATGAGTACAAGCAGTTCCGGAATTCGCACTCATCCATGATTCAATAGACTGTTTTCAAAGAGTCTTGCTGGATCCGTCGCCGCATTTGCGTCAAATGTGAATTCACTGGTGTGGCATACCAACAAGCGAAATAGAGCAAAATAAAATATCGCGTCATTCTTTACCCTGGTATTTTATTCTGCCCGCGCTAA